TGCTGCAGCCCACTGACGCACCAAAGCTGAACACAGCAGCAGCAGCAGCAGCAGCAGCAGCAGCAGCAGCTGCAATATCGCATACGCATGCAGCAACAGCAGCAACAGCAACAGCACCAGAAACAGCAACAGCAGCACCACCACCAGCACCCACCACCAGCACCAGCACCAGCAACAGCAGCAGCAACAGCAGCAGCAGCAGCAACAGCAACAGCAACAGCAGCAGCAACAGCAGCAGCAGCAGCAGCAGCAGCAGCAGCAGCATACTCATTGGGTCTGGTATAGCGTTGTACTCCATGCGCAGCCAAAGGGGGACCTGAGCCTTCTTCCTTGCATCGAGGCGAGGGTAAACATAAGCAGCAGCAGCAGCAGCAGCAGGAGCAGCAGCAGCAGCAGCAGCAGGAGCAGCACTGGCGTCTGCTGCAGCAGGAGCAGCAGCAGCAGCAACAGCATTCATTACGAGAAGGGCCCCGCTGCTGCTGATGCTGCAGTGCGAGAGGTGCAGCTCCTCCAGCAGCAAGCATCCTTTTGCTGCTGTCTTTGTTATATAAGCAGCAACTGCTGCTGCTCCCTCATCACCTATATTATTTTTATATAGTTTTAATTTATTTATTTTTATGTTGCTGCAGCAGCACGATAAAACATATAATAAACCAGCAGCACCGCTCCCGCTTATGTTGTTCTCCGCAAGGTCTAGAGATAGTACCACCAATGCAGGCAACCTGCTGCTGCTGCTGCTGCTGCTGCTGCTGCTGCTGCTGCTGCTGCTGCTGCTGCTGGTGCGGGGGTGCTGCTGCTGCATGCACTGAGACAGCCAACGCCCAAACTCCTCGACGTCAGCATCCCGCAAGCCCCGCCGCTGCAGCGCCACATGAACATATACAACCTGCTGCTGCTGCTGCTGCTGCTGCTGCTGCTGCTGCTGCTGCTGGGCGCTGCTGCGACCTAAGCTGCTGCAGCGCTCTATACGCATATAAGAAGAGAATCTGCTGCTGCGGGGGAACAGCGTTGATATAGTGATGGCGCTGCTGCTGCTGCTGCTGCTGCTGCTGCTGCTGCTACTACTAGTACTACTACTGCTGCCGCTGCTGCTGCTGCTGCTGCTACTGCCGCTGCTGCTGCTGCTGCTGCTGCTGCTTGGGGGGACGGCCCCGCCGCGAGAGACATTCTCGCTCCTAGGCCGCATTCTTAAATTTGTCGTTCCGGATGCATGCTGCTGCTGCTGCTGCTGTTGCTGCTGCTGCTGCTGTTGCTGCTGCTGCTGCTGCTGCTAGGTTTGCTGCAGTGTGTGTTGCTGCTTCGCCACCGCTGCAATGCAGCAGCAACTGCAGCAGCAGCAGCAGCAACAGCAGCAGGAGGCGGTGGCAGGGATGGGTTAGAGCAGCAGCGGGAGAGTCTGCAGCAAGTCAACAGGCGCATGCAGTGCTGCTGCTGCTGCTGCAGCTGCTGCTGCTGCTGCTGCTGCTTGGCAGCTCTGTCAACGGAGGCAAAAGATCTGCTGCTGCTGCTGCTGCTGTTGCTGCTGCTGCTGCTGCTGCTGCTGCTGNTGCTGCTGCTGCTGCTGCTGCTGCTGCTGGAGCGAACAAATGCAGCAGAAGACAGAGCAGCAGCAGCAGCACAAGGAGGGGTGTTTTTAGGGGGAGGGCAACAGCAGCAAAGGTTTCTTTGATGCTCGCCTTGTGCTGCAGCAGCAGCTGCTGCTGCTGCTGCTGCTGCTGCTGCTGCTACTACTACTAGTAATACGCCAAGCAGGCTGCTGCTGCTGACGGAAGCAGCTGCTTATTGTTATTCTGTATTCTGTCTCGATTATCTAAATTAAGAGAAATTGTTGCTGCTGCAGTAGCTGCTGTGTCCTTGCTGCTGCTGGTGGTGTTGCTAGTGCAGCAGCAGCAGGGGGCTTTGCTGCTGCTGCTGCTGCTGCTGCTGCTGCTGCTGCTGTTGCTGCTACTTATGTAGGGTGTATATACACCGCTATAACACCGCCGCTAGCCGTTCTCTACATGAAATTAAAAACTAAAATAATATTAATAAAATACTTTATTTAAAACATAAACTTTTACTCGTAAACACCAGCTGCTGCTGATGGCAACCATGCTGGGGTGTACAGACACCCCGTAGAGAGAGCGGCTACAGCAGCAGCAGCAGCAGCAGCAGCAGCAGCAGCAGCAGCAGCAGCAGCAGCTGAGCCTTGCTGCTGCTGNAAAAAAAAAAAAAAAAAAAAAAAAAAAAAAAAAAAAAAAAAAAAAAAAGAGAAACAAACGCCAGTAATACTCTCCTCATACACCCTTGTTATTAATTTTCGTGAAAAATAATAATAAAATTAAAAATAATAAATAAATAATTAATTAAAAATAAACAAAAAAATATAAACAAATATACACAAACACCTGCTTATACTCTTTCTTGTGTCTAGCAGCTGCAGCAGCAGCAGCAGCAGCAGCAGCAGCTGCAGCAGCAGCAGCTGCAGCAGCAGCACCTGCTGCAGCAGCAGCAACATGCATGCTCACCCCCAGCCTTTTATTAAGGGATAGATAAATTTATTTTTTAGAGACATAGAAAGGAGAGTGCATTCATACTGGGTGATGAAATAT